AAACGTCTCACCGGCAGTTTCACCCTTCGAGTTCGTTTAAGTACCAAAAGTCTTTTAATGCATAAAAAAAAAACAAAAAAAAAAAAAAAAAACAGCAACAACAACAAACAAACAAAGAGCCGGATAAAGACAAATATAGAGCAAAAAATAGTTAAAAAACCACAAGGTTAATAACTGCATGTGGAAAAGGAAAATTTATTTTATTTTTTCCGACGATTTGCAGTATAATGGTGGCATAGAAACGTATTTGTTGAAGGTGGATTGAAAAAATGATAAAATAAACCTTAAGACCCGATGAATCTGGCCACACCTCCAAAGAAATGATTTTCTCTCTTCTGCTTCAGGATGCATAAATCTAGTCAACATCACCCCGGCATATTTCAAGTGGAAATGTTGTGAATGTTCAATCAATATGCTCGCCTAGCAGCTGAAGGCTTTATAGTGGTCTGGAATTGCCCTCCAGCAGAATTGCTAATGCCACCTTTAACCCACGTTTATTGCTAGATACTATTCTATTAAAGCAAGCTGATAGTCTAAGGAACATTGTCTTTTGAAGTCGTAGTTTTATCATGGTTCTCAGTTAAAATTTCTAATGGTACTGAATACTGCAATTTCTTTGGATAACTGCCTTCCAAAAAAAAATTTGTTTTTTAATTTAGCCATATGGTTCAAGATTTACTATTTTCTTGAAGAAAGGCTGTTGTACAAGGCTAAAATCTTGTTATTCGGTGAAAGTGGAATCAAAGTGTTAACCCAAAGCAAAAATTGTATTCGAAAATGAGGTTTAGGCCTTCATTTGCTTATTTACTATATATTTTCTAAAAATGAAAAAGTAACATTCTAACTCAAATGCAATCAAACATCTTTGTGCAATTGAAAATACCGCTTCAAACAGGCATTTTATCATAGTACATCAGTTTCTAACTGTTTAAAAAAGGTTTTGGGTGTTAACCTGGGATTAAATTGGGATCAAAACTCATACGAAAGTCTAGATTTTGGCGCTTTTTGCCATTATTGCTCATTATTGAAAAAAACTCTTTTTAATGTATTAACTATTGTTAATTTAACAATATTTATTTATTTCTATCTATATCAATACTCCATTTTACAGTTCCATTCAGTGACCACGAATAATAGTTCCTAGCCGAGGCTGGAGTTACCGCGCGTGATAAACTGTGGTTTTCCTATGCGCGGAAACTCCAGCCTCGCCTAGGAACTAATTGACTATTATTCTTGGTCACTGAATGGAACTGTAAAACGGAGTATTGCGTTTAACCAATTCACAATAGTTGATACAACAGTGGGTTTGATGTATTAATAATTGTTATTTTGAACATTCGAGAAATGCTTATTTCTACCATTTGCTTTTAACCAATCAACAATTGTTGAAACAACCGCACAGTTTATAACCATTTGAAATTGATTACCACAGACCAACCCATGGTACAATTCTATATAGGTTAAAATAACCTATTATAGTGTTGTAGAAGATACTATAGATTGGTTATATAACCAATTATTTATGGTGTATTTTATCATCGTGAATTGGTTATAGCAACCATTTATTAATGGTTTATTTTACCGCCATAAAAAACTACCAATTGATAAATGGTCATTACAACCTTTACCAATTGATTACCACAGATCCACTTTTTAAAACTTTTTTCAGGGTTGATTCAACCAATCCATTTTTACAATGTTGCCGGTCTGACATTTTGTAATATTTTATAACTTTTAAAGACACAGAAATTCACGAAAAGAACATAATTTTTGAGAAAAAGAATGAAAACGAGAAAACAGTAACTATTACAAAAGGAAAGAAAAAGAACATTATAAAACCGAGAAAAAAAAGGGAAGAGAAATACGAAAAACAAAGATATTTAAGAGTAATTCATGAAGGAAAAGAAGAAAAAATCATCTTCAGTCATCTTTTTGCTACCACATGCAAACCTACCATGAATCAAGCAATGCAAAACTCAATACCACCAACAGCAACCAAATCTTCATTTTTGGGCTTGATAATCAATAATCTTAAAGACCCTAGCCGAATCAAAAGAA